GGAGGAGATATTCCTTCATATAAAAATCTCATTGGTTAGAGAATTCATACATACATATATATACACTTTCGGCAATCATAATTTCATGAATTAATTCAACCCAATTTGCGCACACACTCTTCCTCACTGCATTTGATTTTCACGTACCGGAGAGATTTCCCAATAATATGCAGGAAGAACAAGTCTTTGATCAACTGGGGTTTAATTTAGCGGCTTGAGCAATCCGCTTTCTTCGAATGATTGCCTGCTTCAGTGTTGGATTATTGCTCCGCTAGTTTATTGATCGGACGGATTTTTTTTTTTCTTCTTAATTAATGGAAGCGGCATCTGAAAATTGGAGATGAGAAAGAGGCAACAATGGGGAAAATCATGGGTGGTTTTGTATTGCCCCTGTTACTTTTGACAGGTGTGTGAAATTTGTGTTTTCTCTTCAATAAATTGTTTGTTGCCAAATAGACTTCATTTCTATATATCCTGCGTTCTTGGTTGTTTGTAATGTTTCACTATTGCTTAGTTAATAACTATTTTCGGTCGAAGTGTGTTCAAAGATTTTATTTTGTTTTCGTATGTATGCTGCTCGTAAATTCGAAGAGAAATGTTGCGGTTGTCTTTAAGAAAGTTCGCTGGCAGGCGACTTTTGTTTTTGCAATTTGTTGCTTTTCTAGAATCCTAAAATCGTAGGTTGTTAAATTTCAAATAAATATATGCAGCTCGAATGGAATAATAATAATGTAGATATATATGGAACTGATAATCACTCTTTGATTCGCATTCAAAACAATTTAAGAATTTCAGGAAACCTCCGACTTTAGGAGCAAGATAACTCAACTGATTGCATCATAGCTGTTTCATTTTTCTGCAGAACATTACATCTGTATGCTTTTCATTACTATGGAGCATTTTCAGTTCGTGATTATACTATTGTTTCTTATCATCTATGTACTTTTTGCAGCTGGATTACTGAATTGGAGTTTGATTTCTCTTATTCATTTGGTGACTTCTCTTCTTTTCCGGTTTACTTCCCCTAAAACAGGTAATGGTTGGTCTGTGAACAAGAATTTAGCTACTTTATCTGGTCATCTGTTTATCTTCATCATTTTCATTGTTTCTGCTTATATTTTGTATGATAACGTGCTGACATTATCACTCAATGAGCATGTTGGTAGTGTTCTTTCTGAAGGGTTAACCTAACTGTGTGTATATTTTTCTTCCTCTCTTTTTCTGTGAATTTAGCAGGACTGCGATACAGAGGGAGAGTCTTCACTTTGTGGTTTATTTTCATTTACTCGGCTCTTGTGATTATTTTACAAGTGGGCTTTCTTATACTATGCGCAATTCTGGGTTCAGAATGGAGCATTGCAGATGCCTGGTGGATAAAGCTGTTTGGACTTATGAAGTAGGATTTATTTCTTTCCTATTCTAGCTACTTCTACGTTGTTGAGTGTCTAAGTACGATACTTACAAACTACTTAACATGGTATGCTTTTGCAGTGTCCAGTCCTGGAAATCTCCCACAGTAATCTATTTCCTCGTCGTAGAATTATTGGTGGGGCTTGTTGCTTTCTTTGAGATCAATAGGAACAGATTTGGCTTCGTGGAATCTCGAGATTCATGCTGGTGCTATTTGTCATCTGTGTTTGAACACATAGGTTTGTCCAGACTGTTGCCCCTATTGGTCTTGACTGTTTCTCAAGTATCAAAATAAAAAATATCAATTCTCATGTATGTTGTTAGACAGCGACAGTTTCTGTACAGTGATTTGAATTCCAATAGTGGTTGTGTACTTGGAACAATCAGAACTAGACATGAATTAGATATCTTCAAATTTTACAAGGACAAGTCTGATATTGGGAATTTTTACTGCATGCTCAAAAAATTGATCTTTCAGTACCATTTCATCAGTTCTCTCTTACGATTGTGCATTAAAAAATGCTAGGAACTCATCAGTTACTGGTTACTTATCAGTTGTCACGTATTCATGTATAAGTTTGCAACATTAAAGTATTTGGATTTTCAACTTTTTTTTGAAGTTTGTGAAAAATAAGACAGACTCAATAGCATGTGATTATGTCATAGATTGACTATGTTTTTCTCCTTTTCATCCCAAATGGAAGGTTATCGCCTTAGGTTGGTTTCCTGCTTATTGCTGCCAGCAGTGCAGTTGGTTTCGGGGATCAGCAATCCTTCCTGGCTTTCTTTACCGTTTTTCATTTGCAGCTGTGTCGGTCTTGTTGATTGGTCTTTAACAAGCAACTTCTTAGGCCTCTTCAGGTATTTCATCCTTGCATATAAATTTTGTTTATTTACGGTTATAAAATTTATCTTTATTTCCCTAAAAGATAATTAAGCAAATAAAAGGTCCTCAAGTTAAAGTTTTTAAAGTTCAAATTCAGTCAATGCTTATGTTCTTATACCTGGCTTGAAGGTGGTGGAAGATACTGTGGGTATATGCTGGCTTTAGCATTTGCATACTTTATGTGTATCAGCTTCCTATTGGGTTTCCACAGTCTCTTCAGACGTTTGCTGATGTCATTGGTCTGTACAAAGCATCGGTGGATTCTGACTGGCAAGAAATTTGTTCTGGTATTTCTCTCACGGTGTTCTACTATATGGTATGCATTCATTGTCTTAGTTTCCACTTTACTTTACTACCTTGCCAGTGAAACACTTAAGATTAATTTGTCTATGTACATGTTTAAGCAGCCTTGTATATTTTTTATTTAGTTGTCGGGCTCTAATTTTTCTTATACATGTATTATTCTCTGTCTACCTTTCTGTAAATAATAACATGGAATAAACATGAGCAAATCAACATAATCATTGATGCAACATGGTGGTTCTGAAAGCTAGATAATACATAAGTGCTGTTCTTGGACATGTTGTTCCTTTACTAACATTCATTAAAAGTAAAGGTCAACCTTATTGAGGATTTCTTGTTAAATAATATGCTTAGAAGAGTCATATATAAATTGTTGTGCATTTTGAGCTATTAAGAACTCATTCTGAAACGCATGTGCAGCTCTCTTGTGTAAAACATGACCTAGAAGACATGGAATTTATGATGTCCATGCGAGAAGGCAGCTTGACTGAACAGTTTCTTCCCTCAAAAAATTCCTTTTTTGTTCGTCAGCTGAGGTAAATACTACTCATTGTTTTTTCTTAGTTAGACAAGCCATCCTGTTTATCTGATATGTAAATTATCTGAGATTGTTTTGTTTTCTATGAAAATCAGTACTCGTGGGCCGTTAGTTGTAATGCTCTATGTTTCAGCTGTTAGGTAGCATAAGTTAGGGGGTTATTGCTCATGACATTGTTTTTCTTCTAACTCAAGATTGTTGAATAGTTCTTCTGGTTTGCAGGTCTGGTGTAAGGCATACCAACATTTTATTGAGGGGAACGGTTTTCAGGGTTTTTAGTATCAACTGGTTCACTTATGGATTCCCGGTATGTAGTTACGTACTCGAGACTGTTTATCCTCTATGCATGTATGTTTTACTCTGATCTCTCGACTGATGCAAATATGACAGGTGTCCTTGTTTGCTCTTTCATACTGGAGCTTTCATTTCGCAAGTATATGTGCATTTGGGTTACTTGCTTATGTTGGGTATGTTTTGTATGCTTTTCCATCCTTGTTCCGACTGCACCGTTTGAACGGGTTGCTTCTTGTGTTCATTCTCTTGTGGGCTGTGAGCACATATGTATTCAATGTAGCCTTCGCATACGTGAACTGGAAACTCGGGAAGGTACCTTGTTATGTTAATCTTCAACTTGCTCTTGTGAGCCCCAAATTTGAGTCAAGTTTACGATTTTTCTTCTTTTTATTTTCTTATTGTTTTTTATTTATAATCAGGATATGGAGATCTGGGAGATGGTTGGATTATGGCATTATCCTATCCCTGGTTTCTTCCTTCTTGCACAGTTCTGTCTTGGAATTCTCGTAGCTCTTGGTAATCTTGTAAATAACTCGGTTTTTCTGTGCCTATCAAATGAGGAGAGGCAAGTCTCTAATGAGAACAAGACTGAGGAAGGTACATATGCTTATACTAACACTAACAATTTGATTTTCTTTTATTTTAAATGACACCGTGTACCCTTGCTCTCAACTCAATTACTCCTTCTGACTGAACCACGCTTAGTCGGTCATCACCTATTTCAGTTTCAAATACCTCCTTAAATGCTAGTCTCTGAAAACAAGCCGTGAGTGAATCAAATGCGTGTTGTTTGATTGTTAATTGGTTAGTCAGTATAGTAACTTGAAATTGGAGGAGTTGCCTCTCACAATAGTTCTTCTTGGCTACTACGTAGCTGCCTTTGTGAAATAGTTTTTCTGGTCATATGTTCCATCAGTGTTAGCATAGTCTTATGTTGGTCATGTAGAGTGATCAAAAGAGACCATGCCTTTTTTTACATACATGATTGTCGCATTTTCAAGTAGATTGATCAAAAGACACCATGTTTGCGTGATATGGTAATTTTGTATGTTATAGTCTGGCTTTTGATATAATCTGATTCTTCCTTCTCTGGGCATGAAAGTTGGGTGTTCTTCTGTCAGCGATTCTAATGCCTGTGCTGCATAGTCTTTTCTTTTAAAGTCAACCTGCCTTTCACTTTAACCCCAATTATTTTATTTATTGTATTTATATGGTTGCAGTGAAGGAAGATGCCAAGGTTTTAATCGTTGCTACAATTGCTTGGGGACTGCGCAAAAGTTCTCGGCCTATTATGCTGTTGCTGATTTTCCTAATTGCTACAAAACCTGGTTTAGCTCATGCTGTTTATAGTATGTCAAAGCCCGAACTCTGAATTTCCACTGCATTTACTTTTTAAAAAAAATATTCTTCCACAATCAACATAGTGTATTGAAGAGTAAGCAGTGCTGCATGGTGGCGATTGCTCAGTATTTTAATCGATGATAAACTTTCTTTCTTTCAGTGGTATTCTTCTTTGCTTACCTTTTGAGCCACAACATCGATACAAGGATGCGACAATCCCTTATTCTTCTGTGCGAGGCTCATTTTGCGGTTCTGTACATTCTTCAGCTTAGTCTTGTCTCCAGAAAATTGGAGCAGAAAGGCTCTATAAGTATGGAAGTGCTATCACAGTTAGGTGTGGGTTTTATGAATCTTGAATTCCTTACCTTTCAATATTTTCTAGCAATAGCAATATTCCATTTTTGTTTTATGGACCTACTTTTTTTGTTTTTTGCTAACTCATTTGTGAAAAATCTGTAGGTCTCCTTGAAAGTGATAGCTCATGGGACTTCCTTGAAATAGCTCTGCTCGCGTGCTTTTGTACCATTCATAATCATGGATTTGAAATGTTGTTCTCATTTTCTGCAATTGTTCAGCACACACCTTTTCCTCCAGTTGGATTTAGCATCCTTAAAGCTGGTCTGAACAAATCAGTTCTTTTGTCTGTTTATGCCACCTCCAACACCAGAGATTATAGTGTGAATCATTCTCATGGTACGTTCACCTTTTCCAAGGATAAATTCTTGATTGTGCTTAAACTCATAATTCCTTCCTACTTTTCTTTAAAAAAATGTACCATCACTTATTATTTATGTAAATGCTAATCCTTGTCCACCTTTCAGAAAGAAGGGTAGCATTGTATCTGAGTGCAGTCGGGGAGAAGTTCTTATCCATATACAGATCATTTGGAACCTACATTGCCTTTCTCACCATTCTTCTTGCTGTATACCTTGTGAGACCTAATTTCATAGCATTCGGTTACATTTTCCTTCTCCTTGTCTGGATAATCGGAAGACAGCTCGTTGAGAAAACAAAACGGCGTCTATGGTTCCCACTCAAAGCATACGCAATCATGGTTTTCGTTTTCATTTACATCTTAAGTGTATTTCCTACTTTCGAAATGTGGATGTCCCAAAAAGTTAATCTTTATGTATGCTTCGGCTATAACAGTGACGCTTCTCTGTTACAAAATCTCTGGGAGTCTCTAGCAATTGTGATTGTCATGCAACTTTACAGTTACGAGAGAAGACAAAGCAAAAACATGAAATTGGAAGATACCGACCCATTGCAATTGGGGATATTGGGATTTGCAAAAAGGTTTTTGATCTGGCACAGTCAAAAGATTTTGTTCGCCGCGCTTTTCTATGCTTCAATATCTCCTATAAGTGCATTCGGGTTTCTGTACCTTCTTGGTCTTGTTTTGTCTTCTGCTTTGCCCAAAGCGTCCAGAATCCATCCAAGTCAATCTGAATTTACACGGGATTTTTGGTGACAACTGAATATCTATTTCAGATGTGGGGTAAACAGGCTCAAATGTTTCCAGGACAGAAGCACCACGATTTGTCGATTTTCCTTGGTTTACAGGTGTATAAACGGAGTTTCGAGGGTGTAGAAGCGGGGTTGAGAGCAAAAGTGCTTGTGATTGCTGCGTGTACACTTCAGTATAACGTTTTTCACTGGTTGGAAAAAATGCCTGCTTCTCTTTTGAATGCAGGGAAATCGGAAGAGCCTTGTCCTCTATTTATTTCAGAGGAAGATGTTTCTACTGCTTCAACTTCTAATGGAGATCGTGAAGAATCCTCGCAAAAGACAAGAAGCAATTCATGGCCGTTTTTGACACCCGATAATTACCGGTCAACTGAGGTTTCTTCTTCTTCTTCCAATACTAGTAGAAAATACTCGTTCAGTTATATATGGGGGAGCATGAAGGAAAGTCACAAGTGGAATAAAAAGAGGATTATTGCCTTGAGGCAGGAGAGGTTTGAAATGCAGAAAACAATGCTTAAAGTTTATTTGAAGTTTTGGATGGAAAACATGTTCAATCTCTTTGGCCTCGAGATAAATATGATAGCGCTGCTACTTGCCAGTTTCGCTTTGTTGAATGCTATTTCTATGTTCTACATTGCATGCCTTGCTACTTGTGTTCTGTTGGGTCGAACTATTATACGTAAACTGTGGCCGGTATTTGTCGTTGTTTTTGCTGCTATACTTCTCGTTGAATATTTGGCAATGTGGAAGAGCGTTATGCCTACGACTGAGACTAGTGCACATTGCCATGACTGCTGGAAAAACTCGATCGTGTATTTTCACTATTGTGAAAAGTGTTGGTTAGGTACTGATTTCTCTGACTTGTAATTTGATGTTTCTTGTCGAATTATAATTTTTTAATTTAGTGCATTGAATTTTTATCCGTTTTCTCGTTTTACAGGAATTGTAGTTGATGATCCTCGTGTGCTGATCAGTTACTACGTGGTCTTCATGCTGGCGTGTTTTAAACTCCGTGCAGATCATGCATCTAATTTTTCAGGGTCGTTCACATATCACCAGATGATTTCTCAGCGTAAAAATGCTTTTGTTTGGCGAGATCTCACTTTCGAAACTAAAAGCATGTGGACTTTTCTCGACTATTTGAGGGTATACTGCTATTGCCATCTATTAGATTTAGTACTCGCTCTCATTTTAATAACCGGAACCCTCGAGTATGACATTCTGCACCTTGGATACCTTGGCTTCGCTCTTATTTTCTTCCGTATGAGGCTCACCATATTGAAGAAGAAAAACAAGATCTTCAAGTATTTGCGTATATACAACTTTGCTGTAATTGTTCTCTCTCTGGCCTATCAGTCGCCTTTTGTTGGCGATTTCAATGCTGGGAAATGTGAAACAGTGGATTATATTTACGAGGTGATCGGCTTTTATAAATACGATTACGGATTTCGGATTACCTCAAGATCTGCTTTGGTGGAAATCATCATCTTTGTTTTGGTATCGTGTCAGTCGTACATGTTTGCTTCATCAGAGTTCGATTACGTATTTCGATATCTCGAGGCGGAGCAAATCGGTGCAATCGTACGCGAGCAAGAGAAGAAAGCTACATGGAAAACCGAACAGCTACAGCACATTCGTGAATCCGAGGAGAAAAAACGGCAGCGTAACTCACAAGTGGAGAAAATGAAATCGGAAATGCTCAACCTACAAAGCCAGCTCCACGGTATGAATTCATCTACTGTTTGTGGTGGTGATGCTTCTTCACCTGCTAGTGGGGGTTTGAGAAGAAGGAAAAATGCTTCGATCGATTTTCAAGAAATTGAAAACCTCGAGAAAGAAGAAGGTTATGTCAGTTTTGATTCAGGTTTTCCATATAATGTGTACGAATCTCCACGTAGCTTAAGACCTGAGACCCCATTTGCAGTTGACTTTACAAAGCAACAAATTGATGCTTCTGTTAGTGAGATTACGGAACTTGGAGAGGATGCGAACGATAATGATCCGA